CCCATGAACCTCCAAGTATAGGCAGCAACCTTCGTGCAGGTTGTTACTCGCGAGCGGATTGATGCTGCAGAGAAGGTTGTGAATGCCCACATGGGCCTTGGTGAGATGAAGCACTTCAATCGTGCCTCGTCCGCAGTTGCCAGGCATGTTCATGAGTCCTGAACCAAGATGCCTCTGCTACCAAGGCGAGGGATGGGAATATATCCTGCAGCAGCATGACGGTAAGCTCCCGATTGTTATCAAGGCCTGAGCACACTTTGGGCCTGCGGTGGCTGAATTTCGCGTCCCATTTTGAGGCCGCGCCCGAAGGAATGGTGGTCCCTGTCAAGAACGTGCTGATGACTGTGACTTGCCTTGCCACCACACTCTTTCCATACATCTGACTCTATCTGAGTTTGCTGACAGTTGCCCACAGCTCGCCTAGGCAACCTGATGAGACGGCTTTGGAAGTCTAGTTTGCAAGTGCATGACGCGGAGTGCAACGAAATGCCTTCATCTTGATCGAATCAAAATCCAATTCTCGCGACCATGCAACTCTCTTACAATATTGAACCCAACCACCCCCCCCCCCCCTCAATCGCAAGCGCGTTTCGTAACATGGATGCCGGGTGGGGTCCAGTGAATTCACGATGAATTGCCAATGCGCCTGAGAGAGTTTGTCTCTGCAGCCAAGGTCGTAAACACTGATCCTAAGTGTGCCCTTGAAGCAGATTCGAGTTTAAAGCTTGCGTCAGTTCCCATGTGCACCGACTGGCTGCGTTGCGAAGTTCGCATGTCTTCATCGAGGCTTCTGGCTGACCAACTACCTGGAGACATTGCTGGTTCAGGTTTGGTATCCGATGACGGTGGCAACGCAGTCCCGTGCGCAGAAGAAAGCACTTTGCTTGCAGACTATTATTATGGTCTTATGGTGATCTGGGAAGAATGTTGAGAGTTTGTCGACATTTAACATCATCGGAAGGATGGCAGGGCCGTTTTGTACAACTTGCACGTGCGAAACTGTCATTGAGCGAAATGAGCAGCTTGAGCTCTCCTCCGTTCTGCATGGCAAAGGCAATTGTTGAATGCAGAGTGGCTGCCACAACTAACATCCCGTCTGCGTCTCATCAACAGCCGAGTACACATAATAGCATCTTCCAAGTGCATCAACAAAATGTAGTATAATACAATGTAATAGACTGAAATACAATGTAATACAATGTAGTAGACTGCAAGATGATGTTATGTAAAGTAGCAAAATGTAATATAACATTGTATAATATAATATCATGTAATGTAGTATAGTGTACATTCATGTAATGAAACTTTATATATTGTAATGTATCTATATTTAAACATATACATTGGCATATAATGTAATATAGCGTATTGTAATGCATTATACTGTAGTATAATGTAACATAGTGGGTTTAAGTGTGATATAGTGTCATGTAATATAATATGAACAGCATGTGATATGATATGATGTAGCAGACTATTATTCGAGATGCTACAGCGCAGTATAGTGTAGCATAAAGTTATGACGATATAACACACTTATTATACAATATTCTATAACTCGCCGTAGTACAATATAGTATGCGAGAATGACATGTTATATAGTATATCAACGAGTGTTTGCAGACTCCAGGTCATTATGGATTCTCTCATCAAGACCGGCTCCTTCCCAGCAGCTGAAGAGATAACGCTGACAGATGTTTGGTCTTGAGGGCTGTGCCGGGAATGCAGAGCGGAGGCACGGACCTGCCCAACATGCCGAACAAGCTCCCTGCACCCTTGAAGATGATCACTGTGGGCTACCAGCTCAACGACTTCGGCTGCCGAGGCGACTTCCGGATCGCACGTGTGAAGAACTGATGGCATGAGTGGCCCTGCCTAAGGCGTTTCTTCCATGGAGACGGCAGGGATCGGAGGTGCAGCTCACTTGGTCAACTTCTGCGGCAGCGACACCATGCCAGGCGCTGTGCACCGAAAGTGCCTTCTAACTTGCGCGGGAAGTCACCGGCACAGGGGTTGCGATCGAGCACGCTTCAGTGTGACATTCCGTGTCGACCCCATGGACCCATCCAAGCGCGATCTTGCCATATCTTGCCCCTGCGCATGACGGCCTGGCAGGTTTGTGCACGGCCATCGATTACTACAAGTTGCCGCTGGAAGCATGTGCCGGCACCTCCGTGCCAGCTGCAGAGCACTCCACCATCACCAGCTGGACCAAAGCAGGCAGTCGAGTTGTCCATCCTGAACCCTGAACCCTGTAAGCCCTGCATTTGCAACTGGTCGGTTGAGCTTGTGAGCCAGGCGAGAAGGCCGCCTTCGAGAACATGTTGAAGCAGTATCCGGAGGGCATTGTTGCCGTCGTCTCGGATTCCTATGCCAGGGGCTCAGACTTTGCAAATCGATCGTGCGGGACAAATCATGCGTTCACGTCGCCAGCTTGACTTGAGAGACTTGAGAGGATATCTACAACGCGTGCGAAAAGCTCTGGGGCACCGAGCTGCAGCTTTTCGGCATCTGCCACTTGTGGGGCGGTAGACTAAACCTGTCCTAAAATTATTAAATCCGATTCAGGGCATAAGGTCGTGTCAAACGCTAAACTCAACACCTCAGTGTGCCTGTTTGCATGAGGAAAGATCTCATCGCGTCCCGAGCTCCACCCACAGGCAAGCTGGTGGTGCGACCTGACTCAGGCACTGCGCGGGGAGCTTGGGAGTGAGGTACTTTAGAAATATCAGCCATTAGCCATGTGTCGTAGGATTTGGAGCCTGAGGATTAGAGGCTCTAGGACGTCCCTAAACCCTAAACCCTAAACCGTGCTTCGTGCCGTTGCTTAGGGCCAAACTTCCGATCCAGGCAGAGTCTTTGCATCGAAAGAGTCGCGAGGCGATCCCAAGACCATCGTCGTGGAGGTTCTTGAGCGACTTTCGAAGCACCTCGCACAATCCTTCAAGGGATTTATAAGTAAGGGTTGCTATAAGTGTACTATTTGGATTGGTAAAGCTGTAAATTTGTTGGGACCAACGTGGTTCCTCTTTGGAAGGATCGTCGCGAGCACCTGGCTGGGACATGCTACTGTAGGAGACCCCTAAACAGCGTTTCTGTCCACATCTTGATTTCGCAGTTTCGATACTTCGGGGCTTAAGGCGAGGTGCTGTAAGCAGAACATAGGGGGCCTCGGTACCAGTAGCTAGAACAGGGTTCGGGGGTATGCATTAGAGTCACAAAGCAATATGGAATCCTCGGGGCTAGTATTCACCAACTGTTCTGGCCCACAACTTGTGCATCTGGAGTATCTGCAGCAGTGCATGTCCTGTGTTCCCAGGCACTTCCCGGTCACCACCAACTCAGCTGGGTTCAAGGCGCTTCGAAGCACTTCAACAGTCGCAGTTTGAACCCAACTAAACCCTAAACCCTAAACCTTGTCCTTGCAAGGTGCTGCCTCCCTACATCCGCGTCATCCAGGGTGATGGTATTTCCTACGAGTCGCTGAAAGAGATCCTGGCAAACCTTGAAGTGACATGGCAGCAGTGGTGTGCATTCTGACGAATGCGGCGGGTTGCCAGCACGTACTCTGGCTGCGTTGCAGAGTTGTGCATGTTGTGCTAATTTTTATGCTGTACTAAGTACAGTCATGCCGGTTTAATCTAATAACGGCCGTCGAACCTACCCGCGTCTTGCGTCGGAACAGGGTAGTCTTTACTTATGGGTAGTTTCCAAAATTGGGGTCCCTTTTAGGGTCCTTTTTATAAAGGTGCCGTACTAGGGGACCTAAAAAGGGACCCTAATTTAGAGAACTACCCAGATACTCTCCATTTGATCCTGTTGGGTTCATCGGGTCAGACCTCCCGGAAGCATTGCTTTCGCTCTTTGGGCTCACCAGGACAGGCGGGACCCGAGCGTATCGAGATGGGGTAGTTCCCTAAATTAGGGTCCTCTACCCTAAACCCTAAACCCTGAAACCCTAAACCCCAAAACCCTAAAACCCTAAACCCTAAAACCCTCAAACCCTAAACCCCAAAAGCCCTAAACCCCAAAACCCTAAAACCCTAAACCCTAAAACCCTCAAACCCTAAACCCCAAAGACCCTAAACTCCAAAACCCCTAAGCCCGAAAGGATGATGTGCTCAGGCCAAAAAATGGGCCGCCGAGAATGTTTGCTTCGGCTCAGGCCTGTGCCCGCAATGTGAGACCGATGACATACCACACTTAGGGTTTAGGGTTTAGGGTTTAGGGTTGAGGGTTTAGGGTTTAGGGCCGTTTAGGGTTTAGGGTTTAGGGAGCTCCCTACATGGGAGTTTCCGAAAATTAGGGGTACCTTATTTTGGGTCCTTAGAACAAGGATCCTACTAGTTAAGGTGCTATATTGGGGTCCCCTATTTTCGGAACCCCCACAGGTTTCCTTTTAAACCTTAGATGATGTTACTCAGTTTGTGATACTAGATTTTACGATGAGGTTTTACAGCATTCTGCCATATCATAGTTGCATATTATGTGGATCGGATACCGTATTCTTATTTCATGCTATGTCATATACTATGTTGTAACTAGTGTAGAAATGCCATGTTATACTTTGTCCGACTATGTGGCAGTGTATGAAATGCCGTTATACCTAGTTGTGCTGTTTTATTAGAGTATCGTATATGAGATCTTATCTTATCTTGTCTTATCTTATCTTAGCTAATCTTATATTATAGGACTGCCGGGTGAAAAGGGGGTTGTTCACAACCTGTGCGCTGAAAGCATTCGCCAGCAGGTGGAGCATTGTTGCAAAAGCTGGACCGCGACACTCAGAAGTGTGCCTTCAAGTGTTGCAACATGGCTGTATACTGAAACTCGGAGACCCCCAAACCGCAAACCCTAAATCCTGAACCCTAAACCCTAAACCCTAAATCCTGAACCCCTAGACTGTGCTCGATCTTCTGAGCCATTCCTGCGGCAACCTGAGGCGAGGCTGTGGTCGATGGCAAGCCCAGGCCTGCAAACTACTTTCAAAGCCAGGATGAATATAGAAGCCTACACTCTTGGCAAGATTATTCCTTGGGGTTCCTTAAAAAACCGAGTCAGGGTTCAGGGTTTGGGCTCTCGAACCCTATTCCAGCCATCAAGGCCCTTATTTAGCCATGTGCACCCTAAACCCCATCCCCCAAAACCCCAAAACCCTAAACCCTAAACCCTAAACCCAAAAACTCTCCCAAACCCCCAAACCCCTGAACCCCAAATCCCAAAACCCCTAAACCCTCAGCTCGGGAGGCCCGTCTTCAAGGATCCCATTACCGACCAGGGTCGGGGACTGAGGGCTTGAGCTGCCTTACTCTGTGGCAGAAGCTCTCCGTACATTACATTATATCATACTATATTATAACTTATCATATATATATATTATTATATTATATTATGTTATATTATATTATATTATATTATATTATATTATATTATATTATATTATATTATATTATATTATATTATATTATATTTCATTATATTTCACTATTTATCACATATATGTATGTATATATATATATATATATAATGTTGGGTTATTTTAAGATAGACTTAATATCATTCGGCATTTTATTTTCTATATTATATAATGTCTACGGCTACGGCAGATTGCGTAATATGTCCTGTCTGTTCTGTATGCATATACGTCTGTGAGGCAAGAAGTCCAAGCAGGGCCGGCTGAAGCTGGTCAAGCGCCAGAGCCCCAGGAGCTTGGCAGATCTCCGCAGTCTCTCGTGCCTCTTGGTTTAGGTCCATAGGGCTTAAGCCCTAAACCCTAAACCCTAAAGCCTAGATCTCAGTTCCCTAAGCCTTAGATCTCAGTTCGTTTGGTTTAGGGTTTGGGGTTTAAGCCCTAAACCCTAAAGCCTAGATCTCAGTTCCCTAAACCCTAGAGCCCTAGATCTCAGATCGTTCAAGGTGCAGGCAAGCTGACCACATTGACCGACGGCGAAGGAGCCGAGTCAGAGGACCTGCTGGTCGAAGTCTTCCGCAATGGTGCCTTGACGCATCTGGGGGCTCCTTCGGATAAGGGTTTAGGGTTTAGGCTTTAGGGGTTTAGGGGTTTAGGGTTTAGGGTTCGTTACAAGGATCCACCAGTGGCGGTCTGTATGATTCCATCGCAGATCCAAACTACACTACCGTCGTCGCTACGCAAAGGGGATCTCCATGAAAGAGCAGGCAAGAGCCAATTGCAGCCCCTGCAAGGTTCTGTCACCAAGACCTTCACCTTCCAGGAAGTTCGCCAGCAATCGGAGGCATGTGCTTCATGAAACAGAGGGGGAGATCAGTTGCTACCAGTAGTAGTGCTGCCCTCTTTCTGCAGGTTGGACTGGTAACGCCAATCTTCGACGTGTCTGCATGAGACCCCTTGGCCATGACACGGGTGGTCCGAAGCGCATTGGGCCTTTGGGCAGTCCGTGTTGGCAGAGAGGACCCGATCCGAAGCGATCTGCCCTCGACAGCAGTTGCCATAGACGGAGGTGAGTTTTGTCTCCGGGATCCCTGTGCTGACGTTGACGGCGAGCTAGCCGCCACGACACAGGGGCAAATTGCAACTGCTTAATATTGCTTCCGTAGAACCTTTTGTTGCGTCGCAGGTCTTTTAGCTGTTTACCTTCCGACGATTCTCGCAGCTTCGTGCTTCAAGGGCATGATGTTGCCATCTGTCATCTCTCGATCCGAGAGATTGGGCTGAGCAAGGTTGTTCTGTCTTCGAAAAAGGCATGTTGGTGGAATGTGCATGCACGACGAAGACTTGTGAAAGTGATATCCAAGCGAAGACCACATCCCGTGTGGAAGGTTCACACCAGAGATTGTTAATGTTGAAGCATGTTGGGGTTTCAGAAAATAGGGGACCCTAATATAGTACCCTAAATAGTAGGATCCTTATTATAAGAACCCCAAAATAAGGTACCTTAATTTTCGGAAACTCCCATGTTGAAGCTATCAGTGAACGACTTTTTGCGAGTCGACTTCGCAGGCCCTCGGCGGAGGGTCTGGGTACGGACACCTGGTTTAGAAGAAACTGAGGGTTTTGGGTTTAGGGTTTAGGGTTTAGGGTTTAGAAGAAACTGAGGCTAGGACAGCGAATGACAACTCGGCATCGCCGAAGCAAGTGAAAGCCACATGTTAAGCAATAATTACCCCTAAACCCCAATCCCTGAACCCTAAACCCTAAGAACCCTGAATAGGCTGAAAGAGGCGGAGGACACTCGCGACAACACGTACTCGTTTAGCCCCAATAAACAGGCGAACATACACTGCGAAGCACGGGTTTAGGTTTTAGGGCTCATAAGACCAAGACAAGACCCCGCTGAATGTGGTTCGGCGTTACAGGACAATGCACATTTTTCAGTTTAAGCCGTTTCAACCTCACTTCGACGTAGGACTTCTGAAAGATTCTGCATATCTCGCTTTCCCGTACACTTATGGTCGATATATGCACATTTATGTAGACGAGGACGCTGAAGGATGCGTTAAGCAGCGTCTTGTCCATGTTCTGCGAGGAAGTCGCATGTAGACTTTAGGCAAGCAGAATCCCTGAACCCTAAATCCTACTGTACACCCTGTTCCCTAAACCCTTAGGACGACGTCTTTCCCCCACCCTGATGGCACTGCGGAGCGAGGAACAGCATGTAGCGATGCGCACCAACTGCAAGTGCGTTAGACTGGGTTTAGGGTTTAGGGGTTCCATCTGGCTTCGTCTAGAAACTTAAACCCTGAACCCAAAAACCCTGCGCCCTCAAACTCCTAATCCCTCAAAGATGAAGCCCCAAGCCAAAAACCCTAAACCCCCAAACCC